TATATTGTAAAATGAGTATGAGTATCCAAGAGGGGGCGGAGAGTGGGAGCAGAGGGCTGAGGATGGGTTGGGTGGGTGTGATAATCATAATTTGATGGATGGAGGGAGATGAGGTGAAGGAAATGGAAAGATCTGGTGTGAAAAATAATGTATATGAATCAAAACAACTATGAGATATCATCTCACCCCAGGAACTATAGCAGAGTTAAACAGAGCACTAAAAAACAGATGCTGAAATTGGAACCCTTACTCACTGTTGGTGGGAGTGTAAAATAGTGCAACCACTCTGGAAGGCAGTGTGGTGTTTTCTCAAAAAGTTGGAACTTGAAATGCCATTTGAGCCAGCAATTGCACTACTGGAAATATACCCTAAAGAAAGCAGTACTACCACCCAAACAAATATATGCATACCCATGTTTATTGCTGCATTGTTCACAATAGCAAAGAGATGGAAGCAACCAACCCATGTATCCATCAACAAATGAATGGATAGAGAAGCTGTGGTATATTTATACAATGGAATATTACGCAGCATTGAGAAACAAGGAACTCATGAAATATTGCACAAATTGTGTGATCCTTTGAACTGTGGTGATAGAGAAGAGTGCTGAAGATGCCATGGACTGTCAAAAGAACAGACAGATATGTCTTAGAGAAGGTGCAGCCAGAGTGCTTCTTGGAGGCAAGGGTGATGACGTTTATCTCATGTCCTTTGGGCATGTTGCTAGGAAGTGCTATTCCTTGGGGAGGGATATCATGCTTAGAAAGGTAGAGGGGCAGCTAAAGAGAGGATGACCCTCAATTAGGTGAGTTGGCACAGTGACTGTGGCAATGGACATGGCAATGGGCAATGGGTATGTCAGAAGTTGTAAGGATGGCACAGGATAGGACAGTGTTCAAAGTGGTTTTTCATATGGTTGCTATGAGTTTTATTCAACTTGATGGCACCTAACAACAACTTACATAGCTAGTTATAGCTGACTAATGAAGAGTCGGAACGAAGGCCAAATCTTCTAATAACTATACAAATGCTCTGTCAATCAAGATTTTTCTGGAGATTATTCTCCAAGCAATAAATATATTTTACACTCTCAAAAAAACCCCAACAACACAAAAACCCAAACCACAAACAAGTAAACAAAATGAGTGACCCTTGAGGACAATATGT